ACCCTGAGCCGGTGAGATTTGAACCGCTGACCTGCTGATCTAGCAGTAGCCTGCAGTGCTGCATTTAACCACTGCGCCACCTTGGCTCATAAAAAAGCAGAAAAAAGGCAGAATATTATATTTCTCCAAAGGAGAAATGGAGAAAAATCCTAAGAAAGGCAGAAAGCAGCACCAACAGCCTCCAGCAGTCTGGAGATGGATATTTTGTCTAGAGTCTAGAGTCTAGAGATGGATATTTTGTACCCATTAAGAAAGACTGGGTCACTATTCATAAACAAAAGATCTTCAGTTCCAGTTGATGGGATTAAGAAGGACAGGACTTTTAGCACATAATAGGATTAACTGTTAACCCACCACCATTAGAATAGCAAAAGACACAAGGCTCACTACATTGTTGTTGGTTCTGCTCATTGATAAACAGAGTCCTTCTTTCCAATCAGCCTCCATTTTATTTACAATGCCTTTGTCCTGGCTTGGAAGTGGACCACATTTTTCTTCCAACAGTTTTTTCCCCACAAACTTTCTATCTTCTTGCGGCACTGGGGTCTCAGAGGCCTATCTGTATGGGAGGAGTGGGAGATATGTTGTAGGTGAGAGCTGCCAAACAGCTAAAACCTCTCATCTAAATTGGTACCTCCCTTGGCATTGCACAGTGTTGGCATAAAAGTGGGGGCAATGTATGCAAATTTTCATACATGACTACTAATGGGTCCTTTTCATTTCTTCCACTTTATATGCTGAGAAAATGAGTTTATTTGTTGGTCTTTCCCTCCCTCCTTCCCTTTCTCCCTGGGACTAGTTAACTTTGGGGCTAACACATAATTTGGTGATTTTGGATCCACAATTTCATGATATTTGAACTTTACTCAAATATCAATTGCATCCATATTTAGACTGAGAGGCCCTTGTTATGCAAGTGTGCTCTCAGGTAACTCATTAACACATACATTGCCTTGGAAAATTGCCATACTCGAATCAGTTTCAATTGAACACTGAGGCACAAACAGTTCTTTAGAATGCATGGAGACCCAGTGAATTTAAAATAATAGTAAATTTACTCATGACAGTATCTTTGCTTGCTCTTTCATGCACACACACTCTCTCTGATTCACATTTATGCAACATCCTCAGCTAGGATGCCAGATGCTAGTCAGAGGGACGGAAGCCACCAAGTCTGAATCCCAAAATGAGTCAAAATGAACAGGCTTCAGGACCCCTTTTATTTCCCCAAATCTTTGCTTTGTTGTTGGGGAGGGCCTTACCACGTGTCAAGACCCAACTCCTTTGTTAGCTGCTGGTGAGACTTGGGTAGGGGCTTCCCCATATGCTCCAGCCCACCTTTTGTTCTTTTGATTCCTTAATGACTTGATTCTGTTCCCTGAAGGAGCTTTTCCTGGCTTTGGTCCACTCTGCTTATGTGCTTTCACCACTTTTAGGTATGGTGGTTTTGGCCTATTTTCACATCCTCAAAAGTCATGGTCTGGTCACTGTACACTTGCACTAGTGCAATGCACTCTAATGGGGCTGCCCTTGAAGGCCACTCAGAAGGTGCAGTTCTGCTTCTTGAATTGCAATGGTATAGTGCTGGGAGCAACTCAAAGTCCTGGTTATAACCTTTAAAGCCTT